CACCGCCACCCCATGTGTGAAGGAGCATCGACTCTGGAGATCAGCAAAGTGATCCAGATGCACAGGCTTTTCGGAGGGCAAAGGGTCTTTCAGCCTCTGTCAAAAGGCGGCTGAGAAGGTGGCAGCCAAACCCTTTGCGGGCCAAGGGTGCCTTTCCATCGTGGGCTGCAACGAAGGCTTGGGTCTCCTTCCAGGACTGACCCCGGGGCCCCACGTCTGTCCTGCAGGAGCACGGCCCAATTGAAGGGCCCTCGCTTACCGTAAGGAGGTTTGGTTCAAAGCTGCCTGCAGTTCTGGGTGCTGAAGGAACCCGCTCAGGACTTCAGGCACCCGGATGCCTGGGCCAAGTATCCGGAGGGTGGGCTCGAACAGGGCCTTCCACGGCAACCGGCCGTGGCGCCTGTGGGCCTCTTCATAGCCCCGAAGTTCTCCGGGAATGGCGATCCACTGGGGCCCTGCGCAAGCAAGCACAGCTGGGCGTCAGCCGGTCCTCCTGCTTGCTCCGGCCTCTCTGCAGAGTCTGTATCTCTCGGGGAGCCCCTCATCCCCGTGCCGAAGGAGACCGCATCCATATATATCCATATACTGTATATATATATATATATCTGGTGAGTGCAGCCTCAGGGGATCCCAGAGGATTAAGAAAACGGCCCCTCTCAGCCGACAGAATTGTCTTATGGAGGAACATTTGGGAGGAGGCCTAGCAGCCCGTGTGAACCAATGCTCAGAATGGGATCTGTGGCCGGGCTGATGCACATGCATGCATGAGCGCGCACACCTGCGTGCATTCCTCTATGCAAGGAAATCCGGGCGTTGCCTCCTTTAATCTGCAGGAAGTCTTTGATCCCTGGCTTAGTTGTGGCCCTCAACCCTGTCAGTTGTTAGGGGCAGGGAAAGGCCAACGGGGAGAGGCCGCGTGCGGGTGGCCAGCCTCTTCCCACGGGCCAGGGTCTGCAACCCTGGGGCCAAACGCAGCCCCTTTGACCCCCTGAGATGTTGCCCTGCTGTCCTAGCTGCGTGGTGCTTAGGTGAGGAACTGGTGAGCCTGCAAGGGTTTTCTGCAGGCACTCCGTGCAGGCATAGATGTGGGCTTCCAGGCCCCAAGAGCCCCCCCTGCCTCGCCCCCCCTGCCCTTCTCTCCTCACAAAGGAGCTGCGCAGTTACCTGGTTGAAGCCGGTCTCTGCACTGATCCAGCAGGTTCTCCTCTATCTCCCGGGGGGCTTTTTCACGAGCATTGATCACCTCCACATGCCCTGGAAACAGGAAGAGGAGACATTAAAGCATGCACTTATTCCATTTCATTTCATGTTGGCCTTTCTGTTACCATGACCTTTCGCTTCTCCTGCTGCTGCTGCTGCAGAGGCAGTGGTGGCCGGCCGACCACTGTTTTTCTCTTCTCTCTGAGGTCAGCCTAAGTCACGGCTTCGGGACAAACCAGCAGAGACACTCAGCACTTGAAACAAGACAGCTGTTTGTCACAGTGCCGGGTGATCTTCCACTTCGCATCACTTGTCTTGTGATTGGCCCTTAGATGGTAAACAAGGGCTTAACTGGCACGTCTGATGGCCGAGGAGAGCTCACCCTCCGTAGGGTGGGAAATGGGTCAGCCGCAGGGAACACACATTCCTTTTACTACCTGGGTTGAAATCGGCCTAATCCTGCCCCCACAGCAACCTGCTGCTGTGTAGGAGGGATTCCAAGGGAGGTCCAGGCAGGCAAGCAAAGACCAGCTCTGGGTCCTGCCCCAGACAGACCGTCCTCCACGTCGCCCCACAAGCCCTCCTGCCTTCCGCTGCCTGACGGAGCAGCTTCTTCCGGGCAATTACTTCCTTCGTGTTACCCTCATGGCTCAGTAATATGACTGAGACTGGATTTTATGAATGCATTTGTGTCTTATTGGCCAAGCCCCTTTGGGAGGATTTTTACCCTCAAAAGGAGGGCCACAAAAACGGTAATAAATGAATATAAAATTTAAAAGCCAGCCTATCTTGCTTGACAATCCTTTATTCATCCGAACAGAATTGATCTGCGGTTAAAGAGCAGAAACGTCTCTTCTGATCCTCCAGAAACGAACCTGGTGCCTGTCTGTGAAGAAGGGGGAGAGGGAGAGGGAGAGGGAGAGGGAGAGGGAGAGGGAGGGCTCCCCCCCCCCGATGATGACGACAACATACCTGTAGACGCATTGTAGATGGTAAAGATGACGCCTCCGCCCAGGCCCATGCTCTGTGGGTTGAGGACCGAGGTGCAGATCAAGGCAGCGATGGCCGCGTCCACGGCAGAGCCCCCCTGTCTCAGGATGTCTCTGTGAGGGCGAAAGGGAGCACTTAGAACGGGGAAGAGGCCTCTCCTCCTCGGGGGTGGGGGGGTCATTCCTCTCACAGCAGCCTGGGAAGGGGCCACTGGGAGCAAGAGAGAGCCGAGGCCCCCCAGCTAAGACATACTCTGGCGTGTAGGGTTGCCGGGAGGAGACCCACCTAGAGGAGGCCGTCTCCCTTCCTGCACCTCTCGGCCAAAGCCAGGCTGGGGGAGTGAGCAGGGAGCCCACCTCGGACCCAAAAGACCTGGGTTCAAATCCCATCTCAACCATGGAAACTCATTGGGGTGGCAGAAGAGGCAAGGGTGAGCCCCCCCCCCCTTTGAGCATCACGGAAAACACCCGCATTGACCTACAGGCCGGCAGGCGCCGCAGTGGCAAATGGGGCTGCGCGTGCAGGATTCCACTGGAGGAGAGGGTAGCAATCAGCTGGCCGTTCCGCACCCTCCGGCTGGCGCCCTCTACGCCAGAAGCAGGCCTGACTCCTCCTCCCCAACCCACAGAACCGTCACTCATCTCCCTGCTGCTCTGTGGGGGGGGGATGCCATGGGGGGGCTTGGTTTGGAGCCCACCCTCTCAAGCGCTAGAGACCGGCCTGGGCTGGTCTAAGGGGTGTTCTCTGCCCTTGTTTCGCCGCTCTTTCGCCGCTGCGTCACCCTCACCGTGATCGGGACGACTCTTCCACACACAACCCTGTTTTATCTGGAGATGGCAGGAAGCATCTAAAGGTTCGTTGCGGGATGTGTTCTGGGAACCGCAGGCGTTATTTTGGGGGCACGAGGAGGGAAGCCCCCAACTCCGCCGGACACCCCAGTCCTGAGAAAAACCACGTCAGGTTCCCTTCAGGGGAGGTGCTTCATTTCCGGTCACCCCTTCCGCGAAGGGGTTTGTGTGCCTCGTCTCAATGCTTAGCGCCAGGTCCTGCTCACATTGGTGCCCTGCCTCGCCATTGAGCTTTAAGGCCTCAGAGGCAGACAGTCCGGAAGGGGCCAGAATCTCTTTTCAGACCAAGGGACAAACTTCAGTTGGGAGAGGAGACCCCGGAGACAAGAGAAGCAGCCATTTGCGGGCTGAGGGGAGAAAATGGATGGGCCACGGTTGGTCCACGGGCAAGACATTCCACATCCCGGACATGAAAGAAAGAGAACCAAAGCAAGCATTCCAACCCTTGATGTTGCAGCGGAGCAGAAAAGGGGCCTTCCTCAGCCTGGCCCTCTCCAGATCCATGGGGCTGCGCCTCCAGAATTCCCCAGGCAGGAAGGACTGAGATGGCCAGGAATGGTGGATATTGCAGTTCAGCCCACCTAGAGAGCACGCCCGTCAGGGAGGCCGGATAACCTCAGAGTGGGCACAGAAGCAAGATTCTTATCTCTTGGAGAGCCGCATACCAGCTGCCCCTTATCTGCAGAAGGCCAGGCATGTATCTGCTGCTCACGGCTGTTCAGGGCATGAAACAGCAATTCCTTGCGAGGAGGCCCCTTTGAAAGGTTGCCCTCCTCGGTAGCATTTTATGAACAAAGTCTCCACTTCAGCTTCCTTGGACCACAATCCAGACACGGAGGAGGTGGCAAGGACCTGCTGCTCTAGGTAGAAATCCACGGGCTTGTCTGCATCAGGCCACACTTGATCCCCTCTGAAGGATCAAGCTGATTTCTAGGGATCCCGTTGCCATCGTTTGACATTTTATATTAATAAAAGGTTCAAATGATTACTAGCAATCCTGGAAATGTCAGATGTGGTCATAAAATGGAGATCTGAACAGATTTGTGCTGAATGCCTGTTAGAGGTCACTCTAGGGCCAACAGCGAATTTTATCAGATTAGCAAAACCCATGGAGAAAGCTGTTGACTCCTCAAGACTTTGTGATGATGACACGCCGTCGAGTCACTTCTGACTTATGGCGATTGTATGAATGAGCCATCGCCAAAAGATCCTGTCCTCAACTGCTCTGCTTAGGTCTTGTAAAGTCAAGCCTGTGGCTTCCTTTAGTGAGTCAGACCATCTTATATTTGGTCTTCCTCTTTTCCTGCTGCCTTCTACCATTCCCAGCATGAGGGTCTTTTCCAGAGAATCTTCTTGCCTTCTCAGGATGGGCCCAAAGTAGGACAGTTTCAACATTTTTGCCTCCAGAGGCAGTTCGGGCTTGATTTGATCTAAGACCCAACGGTTCCTCTTTCTGGCTCTTCTCCAGAACCACATTTCAAATGAAACATGTGGGTTTTTTTTCCCCTGTCAGTTTTCTTAACTTTCCAGCTCTCACACTCATACATGATGTGGAAGACTAGCAAAGCTCCTTGTAACCCAATAGGTTTGGAACCCAAGCAGAATCCATCGGGAGAGAGCCTACGATTTCTCCACAAGAGCAAAGTCCATTGAGAAGCATTGCTTCCCTGTGTCAATGGCCAACCTAGTCTTCTTGTTTTTCAAAACAGCATCTCCAACAATCTTGGGGGGTCCCAGCCAATAGAAAGCATAACATGTGGATGTCTGGAAAGACTTACTTCACCATGAGCAAAACAATGGCTTGTTCTTATCCTCTGAAGAAGGATGGAGCCTTTAAACTATTCATATTATACCAGGTGATATTTGATAGGATGGATATGGTTGTCTGATCTCCCACTGGAATTAACACTAAATAGAGAGAAATATCAGCTGGGATGGACACCCCGCCCCCCCAGACTCAAACGACCCAGGATTGTTACAAATCTAATAGTGCTCTGAGGACTATGAGTGTCGGACATTTGACCTGTGACACTGCTGAGCAGCTCCACACCTTTTGGTAGGCAGTGGCAAAACTGATGGTGCCATTGGATCCTTGGCCCGGGAGAGAACCTCTTATTCCTTTGAGTAAGCTCAAAAGAATTCAGAGGAGAGAGTCATAAAGCAAGGGGAGGATGAAAGGCCCCTGACAACCAGAAGATTAGAAGCACCTCCAGAATGGTCTGCAAATACTGAAGGAGATAAAGCTGCTTGGAGGAAGGGGCAAAGTGCCCCTGTCAAAGTTGGTCCTCCTGCCTCTGAGAACAGGGTTCGGTCAGGTATCAGAAGGGGGAAACCCTGAGTCACCTGAGCTATTGACAGATGGGAGGTTTTTCCCCTCCGACTCCCAGCAGAATCGCCATCCATGGAAAGTTTTGAAGAGCGGCACGAAGTGGGGGAGGCAAAGGGAGGGAGCAGAGAGCCAGGTAGGATCAGCCAAGCTCTCGAGGCCCTTTCCTGTTTCTCTCTGGACTGTTCTCATCCACATGTCAACAGAAGGTGGGAGCCCTGAGGGCGGGGGGGGGAGGGCTCTGATTATTGCTCCATCCTCTTTCAGGGCATCACCCTCAGAAGGCAAGTAACAGGAGCCTCCAGTCTGGTCTCACTCACAAGGAGACTCACTCCAGCGAGCTTTATTTCCAGATCAGCAGGTCCTGGGGGGAAGCCAAAGACCTCTCCGATGACTTGGGTTCAGATTTAGACCAGGCGCTCAGCTTGCCACTAGAACAGTCCGTTCTCCAGGAACAGGATGCTGCAGAACGGTGTTCCTCTCTGCTCAAACTTGCAAATGAAGCGCGTGCTGATGTCCCCATCACCAATCACGGAACAAGAGCGAGCTAATTCAGAAAAGGCTCAGGCGAGAAGGCTTGGGCCAGGACGAAATGCCTGTCTTTCATGGATTGAGGGACACAGACCTCCAAACACAGAGCGGACCACCTCCTCCATTTGACCCTTGGAGATTGCCACAGGTGGCTACAGGTTTGCCTCTAAGCTGCACAGAAAGCTCCTGGCACAGCTAGAACAGTTAAGTTTCTGTCACTTCCAGAGGTATCATTGAGAACCCGGTCAGGTACTGCTGGCGTTTAGGCCCATCCCATGCTTACCTCCTGAAAGACGGTGATGTTTTTGGGTCCGGTTTCAAAAGATTGTTAGAGCAGCCATTCTGGATCCTGGCAATGGACACGACCTGGCAGGGACTTCCCTAACTCAGAACCTTGAATTGTGGGATGGCACTTGTACGAAAGCAAGCTGAGTCCAGGACACCCAGCAATCTGTTTTATGATCTGCTATAACAAGGAAGCCGGCAACAAAGC